CCGTCCTTGAGGAGATCAGCAATTATGTTTGATGTCCCTGCTTTTAAAATAAGAGAACCTTGTGGAACCTAAAAAATTAAAAACACATTGTATAATCTAAAAAAAAAAAATTCTTCGGAAAAAATAATTCAGGAAGATTTTAACTGATATTATTTAAACACTAGATTTATTAAACCTTTTTTCTTTTTTTTTCTTTCTGTTTAACATCTATAACACTTGTGTGTTAAGGAAATTGCTTATAATTATTGCAAACTTACTGCTGCCGCTGCTGCTGCCCATTCGTGCGAGTTTACACAAACTTTTTTACCATTTGTTATAAACAGGATTAAGCATGCTTCTTTTCTTTATACTTTTGAACTCACGCAATGAGGTACTCTTAAATCTTAATAATCTGTCAATATCTGATTCAGTAATAAGATCAAAAACTTTGTTTCATCAGCTTATTTAGTGATGAGATTGACAATTTTTATTTGATAACTTCTGTAGTAAAAATGAACCTTATGTTATTTTCGAATTAGTAAAGTAACTTTTAAAGTCAGGTAATTTATTTAATTCATGCATTATATTAATAACACAATTCAAGTCCTTCGTCAATTGTATTTAAAGACCATGATGACTCTAGAAGACGTTGCTCTTTTCAAAGATCAAGAGGTCAAACTCTTGATAAAGTTAGTATTTATCTCCAAAACCCTTGCATATCACAAGGTCAACTCTATGTAACATGTTAAAGAACAAGATCGTTTAATACCTTATTTTAAAGAAGTTAAAAAAAATCTGTTTGCTTTTATATAAAAAACCAGATTGTTTGATCGTTTGCTTTTGCAAGTTGTTAAACATTTATTACGAGGTATGTCATTAAACAAATATTACAAAAATAAGTTATGGGTTTGTGAATAAGGTATGCATTTGTAAAGTTTCTAATTTATATATTTTTCCTAATTTATTCATTTATATTTAAATGTTATTTATTATGTGTAAATAGGTGTTATATGGTTATATGGGTTTATATTTTGTAAGTGTGTAAATATCTTTTATATATGAGTGTATCTATGTTTGTGATATAATTATAAATGCTCTATAAGTGTTTATGTTTGTGATATAATTACAACAAATAACATTATATAATGTTATTTGTTTATAGTTTGTAAGTGGTTATTATGTCGTTTGCATGGTTTCAAAATATTGTGACTTGACTTAGTTTACAACAAGAGTGTTGACTAGCCAAGCGATGTAGTTTACAACAAGAGTGTTGACTAGCTAAGCGGTGTACTTTGCTATAATGTGACTTGACTTTGTTGAGAGAGAAAATGCTTTAAAATGCGAGTAGAGTAGTGTACTGTTATGATGAAATACATAAATTAAACCTGTTTGTAATTAGTGTATTCCTAAAATGTGTTGAAAAATATTGTTGAAAAAATGTATTTAAATGTTGTTATGCTCTGTTCTTTTTTGTTAACAATTTATGCTTTTGACGATAAATAAATTTTGTTTAAAAATAGGCTTTCTTTTTACTAATAGCTCCTCCCCATTAAAACATTTAAGAGTTACGATTTCCTTAATTAAATATGTTTAACTTAATTTTTTTATACATAAAAAAATATAAATATACAACGCATTAAAACATAAGTTTTCTTAACTTTCATTAAGTTTTTAGGATTTTTTTGTATAGAGAATATTTTCTTTAAATTATTATTTAATACTTTGAGTGCTCTATGTTCTTAAAGAACAGAGCAATAATAAATTAGATTTAACAAATTATATATATATATATATATATATATATATATATATATATATATATATATATATATATATATATATATATATATATATATATATATATATATATATATATATATATATATAGTTTCTTCCTTTGAAGCAAATATATAATTGTTTATAGAGGTTTTCTTTTATTAGATTTGTATTTACTTATTTATTTATTTCAAATCTTACATTAAATGTGTTTCAAAGTAATGAAAGGGTTTTTATGATGGGTGACTACATTTTTATCCTTTTGATGAATACATTTTATCATTTTATTTTGGATGAATACATTTTATCGTTTTATTTTGGATGAATACATTTTATCATTTTGTTATGTCAATAATTAATAAAAATTGCCTTAAATATATAACAATACTTAGTTAAAAAGATTATATCAATTTAATTATAACTTAAACTTAAGTTCTTAATAATAGTATGTTATCTTAACACATTGCTATATATGAAATATATAGATTATCATACTATACTCTGTTTTATTTGCTTACACATTATTAAAGATGAGTTCAGAAAGAAAACTCAAAGTTCAATCTTGAAATAAAATTTTATTTGTATAAGGCGTTATTATTAAATTAAAATTATTTGTATGCATTATTTAAATCAATAAGTTGCGGTGTTCCACAAGAATCGATACTTGGACTTTTGCTGTTTTTAATCTATATAAACAATTTGTCCTCAAAAGTACATAATTGTATTATTTTTGCTGATGACACTAATATTTTCTATTCAGATTCAAATTTAAAAAATATTTTTCATTTTGTAAATACGGTACTAATATATCTTAATGAGTGGTTTATAGCAAATAAACTTTAATACTGATAAAACTAAATATATTTTGTTTGCTAAACCATCAAAATCTGAAAATCTTCCACTTAAACTACCAGAACTAACAATTAACAATATTAAAATAAAGAGAATTTTTTTAATGAAAATACTTGGAATAACTTTTGATGAACACTTAAATTGAAAAAGCCAGATAATGTTAGTAGAGAATAAAATTTCGAAGACTCTGGGGATTATGTGCAAGACAAAACATCTTTTGAATAAAATGTTTAAAAAATTTATACTATTCATTTATACATAGTCATATTAACAATCATTCATCTTTCCTAAAGAACATTTATATAAAACAAAAGCAAGCAAGTCAATTAGTTTTGGGCACATAGATAGGTACTAAAGTGCTGAGCCGTTACTCAAGGAAATAAATGCTCTAAACGTATATGAACTGAATATCTACCATAACGTGTTATTTATGTTTAAACTTCAAAATGAAATCATTCCAAAATATTTTTATAAAAATTTTTCTAATTAAACATAAATATGAAACAAGACTCTCAATAAATTATTACTATATTCCACTAACATCACTAAAAAAGTCTGATTTTCCAATTACATGTCGGGGACCACGCTTGTGGAACTTGTTTCTTGACGAAAATATGAAACAAATAAAATCAATTGATATATTTAAAAGAACTATAAAAAAATTCTACTAAATTTAAACAAAAAAGACAATTTTTCATTTTTTTAAATAACTTTATTTTATAATATATCTGCCTTGTTGTTTTTGTCTGTCTGTTTTAATTTTATATAAAAAATATAAATATATGAATTTAAATCCTGAAAATATTTTAAATCTTTTAAATCTTTTTTAAATATTTAAATAATTAAATTATTCGCGTTTTATTGTATTGATTATATATACTTATATATACCGATTTGTAGATTTTTTTTATGTACGTTATACAAGCATACCAAGCATATAAGCTTGTAACGTTACCAAGCATCATTTTTACACACTCCTTTGATGCTTAGTTATGTCTCATAATTAATGAAGTAAATTATATGGCTTCGTTAAAATTAAAGAAACCAGGCTAGGCAAAATGAATTTAACCGTTGCCAAAATGAAAGAGATAAGCTTAGGCTAGCTGAGGTAAATTGTTGTTGAAATGAAAGAGATGAGCCTAGGTGAGCTGAAATAAACTGCTTTAGAAATAAAAGATATCAGGATAGGTGTTATAATTTCTTTTTATCTTTTGCTTTCATCACGGCCAAAATACCTCACCCCGCAAATAATTGCCCTTTCTGTTTAGGGTTTATGGGCAAATTTTGCATTGTGTTACTTTGTCCCAGTATTATAGGTTTGCTGTTAGACAAACTTTTAGTCTTAAATACAAACTAATTAGTCTTATATAATTAATGTTTAATTTAATGCTGCTTACTCATTCGTGCGATTTGTTACGCTTGACTATATAATATATCACTTCATATTTTTGACCACACGATAAGGTATTCTCAAATCTTTATTAGTTCTATTATAATCTGTAATATCTGTTGTATCAGTTATAAGATCTTAAACTTTATAATAGATAATTTGATGCAATCATAAATTCTGTGTCATAAATGTGTAAATACCTGTAATATATAAAGTGCTTCAATGTGTGTTATGTATAAGTGGTTATGTTGTTTCCATGGCTTTAAAGTTTTGTGACTTGGCTTGTGAGTTTACAGCAAGAGTGTAGTATTATTATTATATTTTTTTATATACATAGGTTTAGCAGCTTCATTTGGCTCAACAAGTGTTGTTGTACTAAGTCAAGTATGAGTACAACAACACTTGTTGAGCTGATGAAGCAGCTAGAGCTAAGTGTTGTTGGCAGATAGAGCAGCTAGAACAAACAGATAGAGTAGCTAGAACAAGTGTTGCTTTTGGCTCAACAAGTGTTGTTGTACTCATACTTGACTTATTACATTAATTGATTGCTTTTATTGTACAATACCATTTTATAATACTGTAGCCATTTTTAAAAAAGTCTCAAGGTAAAAAAATCAAATTTGACTTTTATACAAAATAAGCTAATTCAGATGCCTACAAACGTTATTGAATAAATATTTTCAAAGAATTATGAATAAAATCATAAAAATTTATATTATTATTTATAGATTATACTATTATTATATATTATTATTTATAGATTATACTGCCAATAACTCTAACATTCTCTAACATGCTAATTTCTTGGTCCCCTTTAAGGTTTGAGTAATTTAGAATTTACTGTAATGTATTATGTTATTTGTTAATTTTGTGATATTATATTGTGTTGTTTGTTAATAGATTAGATGACTTGGTTTACTTTGACATCTAGGTCTTTAATTAAAAATGATTATTGGGTTAAAAATGATTATTAGTTATATTACTGAAACTGACTACATATAATCATTCACTAAATGCTAAAGATTCAGTTTTCAAATAAAAATAAAGGTATATCTTATTGTGATAACTTTTTTTTAAAACTCAACTTTATAACTCCTAAACAAAAACCTTGACAAACAAGGCTGCTGTGTGGAGAAACAAGTTGAGCGCAGTACTACCGGGGATGTGGTGGAAATTAAACATCAAAAAATAAAATTATTTTAAAAACAACTTATTTATCTAAAAATAATTTAGATATCTAAACAACATATGATTGCTTAGATATCTAAATTACTAATAAATTAATAAAGAATTCTAAGTAAGCTTCTAAACTAACTTTTCTAAAGGTTTCGACAAAGTTTAGCAGTTTGGTCTTTCCCATAAGCTTGTTTCATATGGTTATCTGGGAAAGTTTTTGAGATAATCAAATCATTTCTTTTTAACCACTTTAATAAAGTCATCCTTGAAGGCCAACACTGTTCTTTATTTCCAGTAACTTCTGGGCTACCTCAAGGTTTTATCCTTGATTTTATTTTGTTTCTTATCTACAATAATGATCTTTGTGACAACGTTACATCTAAAGTTTTTGCTGATGACTCAACTTCATACTCCTGTCTTGACAAAAAGACTTCTCTTTTCGATTGCTTAGAACAAAAAAGACTTCTCTTTTCGATTGCTTAGAACAAAAAAGTCTTCTCTTTTCGATTGCTAAGAACAGGCGGTCAATCTTGAATCAAATCTCACTTCTGTAACAGATTGTGACTCATAGTAGCTTTTAAATTTTAACTCTGACAAAACTCAGTTTTTTAATGCAAAAAACTACTGCAGTATTGTCGACATTCCTATATTGATGAATGGCAACCCTCTTACTGAGTCCTCTTTTTTACTTCTTCTTGGATTACCAATTACTACTGACCTTTCATGGAAACCATATATACAATAAATTGATATATTAGCATCTGCTAAGGTTGCTTCTCTTTGTCATGCTAGCCATTTGCTCTCTCCAAAAAGGCATTGTAAACATTGATGGAATAAAAGCTGAAAGCAAAGGAGCTTTCAACTTTCTAGTTCCATCAACCAAAACTCTTACTTGACTCGTCTTTCATCAAATTCTCATTTTTTTTACTGTATCTGTCCCTGCATGCTCCAAAAACTTTTACTTGTCTTGTTTTTTTTGCCACACTTTAACCCTTTGGAACTCTCTCCCATCTTTATGTTTTCCTGACTCATTTTACCTTCAACTTTTTAACTCCTCTGTAAACCATTTCCTTGCTCTATAACTCTAGTCTTTTTTTCTAGTAACTCCCAACTTAATATTGATTGTTTGCAGCCTTGTTGGCAGTGAATCAGAATAATAATAAAAAAAACTGCTTATGATTGTAACATTTTTTTTTTTTAAAGTTAAAATAAAAAGCGTTCCTCTAAAATTGCATTTATTTTTTGAAAATTTTCTTTTTATAGTAAAAAAAACAAAAAAATTTATTTTTTAACTGAGTTTTTCTAATATCTTTTAAAAGAATGGTTTGGCTCTGATTCGGGTCAAAGTATTTGTTTACCAGTACTGGTTTCATAAAAAAGATTACATGATTTTAAGCTGTATGGTTTTATATTTTCAAAATTTTAGCAATTAGTTAATTCATCGGTATCGGCATCGGTATCAGCCTTTTCCCATCCATTAGCATCGGTATCAGCATCGGTCAAAAAATGCAATTGGTATATCACTAGTCAACACACTCAACTAGTCAACACACTCAACAAACTTCTAATGATATACCCATGTTTCAACACACTCAACAAACCTCTATTGATAAACCCATGTGGCAACACACTCAACAAACTTTTAATGACACACCCATGTTTCAACACACTCATCAAACTTATAATGATAATATCATGTGTCAACACACTTAACAAACTTCTAATAAAACACCTATGTGTCAACATACTCAACAAACTTATGATACACTCATGTCTAAACACACTCAACAAACCTCTAATGATACATGCATGTGTCAACACTAAACTACTAACTTTTAAAAAAACATTTTGAAAAAACAAAAACAAAAAAAAAAACATTTGAATAAAAAGTTTAAACTTTGTGAAGAATAAAGATATATTTGATTGATTGAACTTTAGATTCAGTGAATTTTGGATTGAGTGAATCTTGGTATTTGGTATAAAAGTTCACAAACATTTGACTTTTTAAAAATTATTTTAAACTATAATTTATTAGACACTTAAATGTATCAAAAGTATTTTATTGTATAATAATCAAAAAAATAAAAAATTCATATTATGACTAAAGTTGTAAATTATAAAAATTAAAAATTAAAAAAAAAATTAAAAAGTTTACAAATATTTAAAACTTTTTAAAAAATATTTAAAAAATTTAAAATTTTTTTGATATTTAGTTTATTTACCTTAATGAACAAATCATCTCCATTTCTACCATGCATATTTCTTCCAGATCCATTTCTACCACATTCAGCATGATAAGCTGACTTTAAATGAGCAAGCTGAGTGAAAGAGGAATCAGCAACTACAATAACACTTCCTCCACGTCCTCCATCTCCTCCATTAGGACCACCTCTATGATCTCTATAAAATAGTTTGAAAAAATAAATTCTAATTTAACACTATTTAAACTTAAAATACACATTCCAAACCCAGGGCCAGTACTGTGTGTATATATATATATATATATATATATATATATATATATATATATATATATATATATATATATATATATATATATATATATATATATATATATATATATATATATATATATATATATATATATATATATATATATATATATAATTATATATTATGTTGCATTACATATTTATGCATTACATATTTACATTTATTTTTTTAATGCAATAGACACTTTCAATTTTTGAATATTATTATTTATATTATCATTATTTATGTTCTAAAAATATATAATTCTAAATATTATTATTTAATTATAAAACTGAACACTAAATGTAAATAATGCATGTAAACTTTTTTTACACTTATAAATTATATACTTAAAATGCACAAATACAAGTGAACTATTTATAACAATACTGAGTATACTAAAACAAAAATGATTTAACTTTTTGTTAATACACAAGTGAATTTAAACATTTTCAGAATGCACTAACAAATTTAAACCTTTTGTAAACATACTTAGAATGCACAAACGAATTTGAACCTTTTCCACCATTTCCAGCTTTTAAATACAAACGCTTCCAATCAATAAACTTTTTATCTCCTAAATTTTCATATAGGAAAAAATTATTTTATTTGTGTTTTGGTTATGAAAATTCTGAATATAAAATATTAAAAATTTACCTTTAGCAAAAATTAACTTTTTTTTTCGTTTAACTTCACTATTTATCATTAATTTATCATTTTGGTTATCAATAGTTTCATTAGCCTTGATAACTTTATGATTTGTGTCACTACTTGCATCACTAGAGCAGTATCTTATTTTTAGTATCAATTTGTGTTGCAATCTTAATCTATGTAAAAACATTTTGTTAATCTAAACTTAAAAAAAAAACAATCTTTACACAAATTTAATTAAAGTTAAATTTTTAAACTTTCACATTTTTTTAAATTTATACAAATGCAGCTGTAGCACAGTGGTTAGAGTTCTGGTTCAAAAACAAGAGTTTGATGCCAGCTCTAGCTAAATAAGCAACATTGGTATGGAAGGAGACTGCATGAGTCTTAAATACCTGAACTCTCTAATTAAATGTTTTTCTGCAGTACTCTGTGAAGACTATTCTCTGTGAAGACTTGGTCTTCTTTGAGCATCTTAAAAACTATATACATATATATATATATATATATATATATATATATATATATATATATATATATATATATATATATATATATATATATATATATATATATATATATATATATATATATATATGTAATTTAATATATAATATACAATACTGTTGAGATTTAACGCCATGTTAAATCTTTTACAGACATAACAAGAAAGTTAATGATAGTCAATTAAGTCTATTTTAGCTTTAAATAAGCTTAGATTTTTAACTTCCACTGTTTTTTGTCTTATTATTTAACTTATTTTAGCTTTATCGTTGTTATTATTATTTTATTTATTTTCTTAGCGATTTTCGGTTCATATTTGTTATATTTATTATTATTTTATTAATATACTACTTGTTATAATTAATTGGTGTCACTCATTTTGATCATGAGTGATACTCATGTCATCATATTATTTGTATTATTATAGATAATATTATTATTTTTAATTATTATTGTTATAATTATTTGGTGTCACTTCTTTGATCAGGCTTCTGTTTGAGCGACACCTTTCTTTTCTAATAATTATTTATATTTATTCTAATTAGTTATATTTTATTATAATTATATTGTTTGTATTATTATAGATATTATTATTATTATTATGTTGAGGGGGTATTTTTTAAGTTATTTTCTCTATATCATAATACCATTTGTACATTTGTATGAGATCTCCTCGTATTCTTCGTTGTTTTAAAGATGTTAATTTCATTTTTTCTAGTCTTTCACTGTATGATAGATGACGTAGCTCAGGTATAGATTTTGTTACTCATTTTTAAATTTTTTCTAATATATTTATCTTTTTCAAGATAAGGACTCCATACCTGTATTGCAAATTCTAAATGCGGCCATATATAACTACAATACAACAATTTTATTAATTCACTATTTTTATTCTTGAATGATTTGTATATTATACCAAATTTATAGTTTGCAATAGATGATGCAATTTTGATTTGTGGTTCCCATTTTAAGTCATTCAAGATCAATATGTCTAGATCTTTTTCCAATGTAGTTGTAGTTAATTCTTGCTTTATATTATTGTTATTCATGAAATAGTTATAATTTTATTTTTGATACCAATATGCATGATTTTACATTTTTCAAAATTGAATTGCATTTTCCAGTTTATTACCTATTTTTCTAACATAGAAATGTCATTTTGTAAAGCATGCACATCTG